TCTCTGAACATCTGGAGGGAAAGTGGCCCAAGGCAAGGGCAGCAGTAATTGCCAAGGCAGATCCACTTTAGCATGTCTGGGGCCGGGTGACCAAGGGGATAAGGAAATAAGGTGAGAGAGTTGGACGGAGCAGATGACAGAGGGCCTGGCATGCCCTGGCCCGCCCGGAGCCTGGATTTCTAAGTACGGTTTAAGGAGGAGAGTTGAATACGTGATTTGCTTTTTGGAAAGATCAGTCTGGAAGAAGTGTAGACAGTGGGTAATGGGGGAGTGGTCAGAAAGGAGGGAGTGGAGGTCATAGAGACACGATTCACACCCAAGTGATACCCAGACCCCCCCACTACAAGTCACAGTGCCTGGCATAGAAGAGGTGGACGTTCTGAGTGTTAATGGAATGAAGCCCCATGAAGACCTGGAAGTGAAACTCCAGCTCCCCCAGGCATGGATGTCAGTACTCTGCTCTCACAGCAACTCTTCCTCCAGCCACAGGTCACAGCTGGCAAGGCACTTCCTCTTAGCTCTCAGGGACTACTACCTGGCCCCCCCCCCCCCCACCAAGATGTTCTTCTATCCCAAGAGGAAAACAAAAGCGTGTCATTCCAATCCCCCTCCAAAGAAGGACTTACTGTGTGAGCCACAGAGAGGGCCGTAAGCCGATAGCCCCCCAACCATCAGCCCCTTCTGGGATAGCCTCCACTGCAGACAGCCTCCTCCCCCAAGGTCACACCCAGGTAGGGGTGGTCTACATCCCAATGACTACTGAGACAGGAGAATGAAAGTCTGGCCATCTTCTGCTGATGGGCTAATTTAGCCCCAGGACACGCCTAGGGGCAGGCAAACCTGTCCTGGGTTCCTCCCAAGGGATCTCCCTCAGTCCACTCCTGCTTCCTTCCCATCCTTTACACAGGTATTAATCTCAAGGAAACTTCCTAATAAACATCCTGAACATTAAGCTCTGTTTCAGGGTCCGTGACAAGTGCAGCATCTAAATGGGAGGCTCTCTGGGGTACTGTGCAAAGAGCACACCCTTTACTGGATCCTTTCACAGGACAAATATGCCCAGAGCACCTGCCATGTGCCAGGCATGGCGCGGGATGCAAGTTTGCATTCTACCTGGAGAGGCCTTTGGGAAAGCACCAGTTCCAGTGCAGTGTGATCAAGGCAGTACAGGCTGCTCTGGGAATATGAGGGAGGGCTTTGAGTCCCCGGGGAAAGTGATGTCTCCTGATGGATGGGTAAATGCAAGTTAGGCCAATCCGTGAAGTGGGGGTTGGAGGCGTATCTCCAACTGAGCACACAGCATGGGCAAAAGCAAAATGCAGTGGAAATAATCCTGGCCCTGTTCCAGGCTGGCCCCTAGGAGGCCAGGCAGCTTCTGCCTCTGGTTTTCTGGAATCCTGGACCACTGTGTAGAGCGTCCAACCGCCCCACTGGAGATCAAAGCCCAGCCAGCCCCCCCCCCCCCCGCCATTCCAGCCACCAGCAGATGCTGCAAGAAGGAACATGAGCCCTGCCACCGAGCCTCGCGCAAAATGCAGATTCGAGAACCCGTGCTCTTTGGCTACCATCAATTCCTATCCTAAAGCCCTGCATTCCTTTCTTGGAACAAGACTGGCCAGTGTGCCAGGGCCCCGATGCGTGTCTGTTCCTGAGGAGTAGCAGCCCAGGGCCCCACAGAGTCCTCAAGGGGCAACACCTCTTGGCAGCTCCACCCGGGATTCCAGCTGCTCTGGGAGGAGGTCACCCTGAAGAGTCCGGGTCCTGATGCCTGCGAGGATGGTTTTGACAAATGCATAGGAGTTTCTGGGCGACCGAGTTTGGGGAAGGGAGGTATGCTAGCCAGAGGGAAAAGTCTGTATAATTATATGTATCCCAGTATTGTTTGTAATAGCAAAAATTGGAGACAAACTAAATGTCCATTAATGGGAGGCTAGCTACGCCATCTGTGGCCTGTTCACGTGATGAAGGACTCCGGAAGCCTGCAAATGAACTAGAACTCCGTAGATGAAGCCCAGAAACCTAAGGGCAGAGCAGAGAGAAGCCAAGTATAAGTTGCACATTGTATAACATGCTTTCTCAGGTTTAGAAACATGCAGAATAACACTAGATACTGCACAGGAGTCTTTACCTATGTGGCCAGGAAGTAATAAACAGCATTCTCAGAGGAGGACTTACCTCTGGGGAGGCGGGCTCACATAGGGGCCTTCAACTAACTGAAGGCCATTACCATTATTTATGGAATCATTTCTCCCTTAGGCTGGATAGTGGGAACATGAATGGCTATTAGAACACTCTTTATGGGGGCGCCTGGGTGGCTCAGTCAGTTAAGCGTCTGACTCTTGATTTCGGCTCAGGTCACCATCTCACAGTTAGTGACATCGAGCCCAGCGTTGGGCTCTATGCTGGCAGCACAGAGCCTGCTTGGGATTCTCTTTCTCCCTCTCTCCCTGACCCCCCCCCACACGCTCTCCCTGTCACTGTCTCAAAATAAGTAAATAAGCATTAAAAAAAAAAAAAAAAAGAACACTATGTATTTTGGCAATCTGGAATATTTCATTTAGAAATAGATTTATTTCTAAGTATACGTAAAAGCCAGAAGCCTCAGCAGCCTGTGTGGCACAGGAGAGAAAAGAAAAGGATCATGTTTGCCCGGCTCCAGAATTCAAGTTTCACAGGCTTTGCCTGGAGAGGACAGAGCCCCTTCTAAAACAATTGGAAAAGGCAGGTACAGATGCCCCCAGGTATTTGCGGGTAGCAAGCAGCTCGCATCTGCCCAGACCCCATGACCTTTCCTTGCACAGGCCGTGCCCCATGCCCCGATGTCAGCCACTCAGGGCCCACACACACAGGAGGGACTGCTCGTTTTGGGGGTAGGTAGAAAGGAGGTGCCCACCCCAGCTGTCCACATACTGGGAGGGCAGGGCTAGTGGACCTCAGTGATGTCTGATACCAAAAAGCTGTTGATTTTCCTGACTTGGACTCCCTGAAGGGGAGAAGGACTGAGATCCTCCCTGTTATTTTGGGAATACCTACTCTGGGCTGGACACTTCCCACAGTAGCCCTGGGAAGAAGGGGCTGCGGGCCCTTTGGCAGATGGGGAAGGAGGGGCTCCAACAGAGTAAGGGAGCAGCCACAGTTTGCAAGACCACGAGCTAGAAGGAAAAGGCCAAAGGGCCAAGAAGAGGTGCAGACCAGGTGTCTGCCTATCCACCCCTCACTAGAAAAACGCGCGGTCTGCCCCTTGTTCATTTCTCTGGCAGGTTCGCCTAGGTAAGACGCCTCTGCAGAGCTCAGAGGCAGGGATTTCCTCCTGGGGGGAGAGCCTCTCCGGGGAGAGAAGGGACACTGTTACCCCAATAGGCTAGGTGGACAGGGGGTTGCCCAAACACGGGGTGTGCAGCCCCATCAGGCTGAGGCCCGGCCAGCCCTCACTGCTGTTCCCACGGCCCAGACAGAAAATAGAATCGGGCTGGCAGGAGGGAGCCCTTGTAGCCCCAGTCTCTGGCCTGCCAGCCTCTCCTTACAGCACCTCAGGCCTGGAGGCCCGCTGAGGCGCAGCGCCCTACGCAGGGGACCCGGAGGAAGCTCCCACCTGCTGAGCGCTGGCTCTGCATAGGTATTGATGTAATGCATTCAAAGCCCACTGCACCCGTGCAAGTTACAGTGAGATTACCCCAGGAGGGGACACGGGCTCCAAATGCTGCAGTGACTTACCCAAGGCAAGGTGCCTGAGATTCAAGATTGAACCCAAGCCGTCTGACTCTGGACCTCGGTACTGGGTCCTGTTTGGCACAGCCTCTTGACCCCCAGCCTAGACCAGGGTCTGGAATCTCCCAGGCAGGATATTCCTCCCATGTCCTACACCTGACATGGGGACCTCATAGAGAGGCTACTCAAGGGCTGCCAGATTAACCAGATTGACCTAAGCTGCCATGAAACACCGTGGTGGATGCTTCAGATGGAAACTCCCTAGTACAGTCTAGTCCGCAATTAACTAATCTTCTAGGAGTAACATGGAAATGCACACAAATTTCACAAGGTGGTGCCCAGAAAGGATATTCTCCAGGCCCCTTCCACTTGTGTCCTCATCCAACTCTTCAGGCTTAACAGTTCCCATGGGCTCTTACTGCACATGTGT